TTACAGGCCCAGTCAAAAATTGTAGAGTTTTTCCAAAAATAGCCTTTTGATAAACTATGAGAAAGAATCATGTCTGACTCCATACTTTTCCAGGCAAAATCAAATGATAAAGGCTAAGGGAGATGAGTGCGCAGTGACTTGTGTAGGTGGGGGTGCAAGTCAGAAACACAAATGGTTCCCATAAAAGGTAGGTGTATGAGTAGATGGTGTGAATTGGATAGGCAAGTCCCCTGACGTACTCTGAATAATTTCTTCCAAGGAAGTACTGGTTCCTAGACCTAAATATTAACTCAGAATTGGTTTTCACATATTTATGAATTCTATGATTTAGAAACTCTGATAAATAAGTGAATGAATGGTCATGAACACATTAGTATTCTGCTAAGGGCTAGAGATAAAAATATAAGCAGAGTATCTATGATTGAGAAGCTCACATTCTAATACTGTTTGAGAATGTGTGGGTATGTGCACATGAACATGCACGGGCATGTGGTAACCAAGGAGAAACACATTAATTTGAAAAGTTAAAGGAATATTGAGTGTGACCACAGGGGACTCAATTCATCCAGGAGAAATAACAGAGTTGATATAATCATATTTCTAGAAGTTGGGGGGGGGCAGGAGCAATGGTGATGATGTGGAATAGGATGTGCAATACCCAGCTAGGTGGTTTATGAGAAGATGCCTGGGGACTAGACAATTTCATGGATCAGACCTACCTGAATTCAGGATACTACTATTTAGTAGGCCAGGTAGGGCAAATACCATACTTGTACTGATATTGTCTATGTTCCTTAATAGAATAACATTCTTGGTTTTCATTTGCTTGCCTCAAGATCCAGGTCCCTAACCCCTTCCCAAAAGGGTATTATCTCTTTCAATTTCCACTATTTACATTATCACTAACATTTGTCAGGCATGACTGGAATATAATACACCATTTTTGTCTGATACTGCCATGACTCAGGACAGCATAGACACACAAGAAACACAAGTATAGGTACTACTTCAGATTTTGGTTGTGGTGTTCCTTTTCAAAAGCAGGCATGGCATGGTAGATAAAGTTCTAGGATTGCAGTCAGAAAGGGCTAAATTCACCTATTTCCTGTGACCCATATAAGCCATATAATGATAGACAAAACATTCAACATCTTTAAGTCTTAATATCCTTATCTGTAAAAAGGACCTGATGGAATGGCACAGATATAAGCATGGATACATGATAGAAGAGATGTATCTTGGTAGGTACACATTAAATATGGTAGGTTTGTCCAGCAATGCATTTGACCAAGCCATGGAGAAGAGGTGGAATTTAACTCCCAGGACTGTTATGATGCTCAAATGACATAATACATATAACATGTTTTATAAAGTTTTACAGAATTATATAACCTCTTACTGGTGGTTGTTGAGGTTCTTTGGCCATGTATTCAAATACCGGCCTATAAATGATGTCTTCCTCTGGTTATTATTAAAGGGGAAAACGAGATAATTTAAAAAATATTTTCTTCATTGGCTACAGTGAATGGGGAGAGTCTCCATAGTAATTTACATCACAAGAAATGATAGGCTGGGAAACAATGAATGATGGGGGAGAATGTTGCCAACTATACACCACTTCAAAAATGAATACTAGGCAAGGGGATCATTGAGGGAATTATATAAAGTTACTATTTTTAATAACAAAGGGCTGTTCGCTTAATTAACCAGACCCAACAGAAATGATGCATAGGGGACTGGGAAGGGAGGCTGCAATTCCCAAGGAAAAAAAAGAAGAAAAAACATGATGATTAAAAGGGGAAAAAAAAACATTCCACGACAGTTTATTCTTATCATATTTCACATCTCATCACTGGGCCATTGAAAATCATACCCTTCTCTTTATTTCCCATACTCCCATTGAATCTAAACTAAGGATACACTTCTATAAATAAGTCTACTCCAAATCCTTTATCAGTGAAGGAAACAGTATGTGAGAGTTAAAAACTAAAGAACTCAGAATACTAGCTCATGCAGAATGGTTCATTTTAAAGACAGAACTCTCTCTCTCTTCTCCCACTCTTCTCACTGTCTCTTTCCATCTGTTTATCTTTCTGACTTTGTCTTTCTCTATAGCTCTCTGTCTCCCTACCTACACACACACACACACACACACACACACACACACACACACACACACACATACACACACACACACAAATGTAAACCTGCACTAGGATTTTTCAGATCTTCTGAAAACCTCATTTTCTGCTATTATTATCCCATTTTACGATGAAGAAACTGAAAGTGATCACAGTTAAGTGACTGGGCAAGGTTAAAATACTAATAAGCATCAGTGTAGAATTTGAACTCAGTTCTTTCAGTACCCAACTTGTACACCTATCCACTGCAAAGCCAAGCTGCCTAATAAGATGAAGTTGATAATGTGATTAAAAAAATAATAAGGATATATTAAGGTCCTAAATTTAAGCCAAAACTTTCAGTTTTGCTAGTACAAGATAAAGCCAAGGGAATGTCCAGACAGACAGCTGTTATTCTAAAACAAGTGCTGGAGATATATGTGCACTACAACTTCAATATGATGGATAGCTCAGTGGCAAAGTGAATTGAATGCTGAACTTATAGTCTGGAAGACTTGCTTTAGAATCCTGCATCAGTCATTTAGTAGCTATTTGACCATGGACAGGGCATTTAATTTCTCTTGACCTTAGTTTATTCATCTGCAAAATAGGACCAGTGATAACACCAAACTGACCTTTTTTTCCAAGGATTCCATGAGGTAGCATATGTAAAATGTCTTACACAAGTTAATGCATTATATAAATTTTGTCATCATCATCATCATCATCATCATCATCATCATCAATAATTCAAGATGCCAGCCAAACTAATATGATCTTAGTTTGCTTCAGGTTAGACATGGCCTCCAAGACTAATGATTCAAATATCAATTGTACTATGTTCCAGTCAGATAATTTATTGAGAAATCTATTTCATTCTGAGCTCCACATTTTTTAAAGAAGGATGAGCTATACCACAACCAGAGAAGAATAAGTGGACTGGCAAAGGTTATACTATGTAAAAATTGTTTGAAGGAACTGAGGCTATTTAGCCTGGTGAACATCACGGCAAATATTTTGAACTTGAGTGGAAACGGAAGGTATGATAGAAGTCTCAAATCCAGGTGGAAAAGGATTTGTGCCTGCCCTCAGCATAATTCATCCTGAGGATGGCAATAAGAATGAGGAGATGAGGACAATCAGGAGGAGAGGAAAGCATGAAAAAACTAAGAATGATTAACTCTATTTCTTATATGTCAGTGCATAGAATGGACAACAGGGGACGAGTATCATAGTAGAAATACTTGATAACATTATGTTCACAAAAGAATAAAATTTTTTAAAAAGCTTAACTATGAAGAGAAATGACACAAAATGCTAATTCGGTAAGATGATGTCCAACATGATAACCATATAGAGTAGGGACTTAAAAATAACTACTTAATAGTCATAAACCATCGCTGATAGGATGTGCAAAATTCAGTGATCAGGAACATAATAAAGACAAATATCTGGGTTGCACACGAGGAAATTGTAGTTTTCTACTACAAAATTGGCCAGCATTTTGGGACCAATGACAGTGGAACAGCCAGGATCAGTAAACGCCAGCTGCCATCTTGGTCAAGATGATCTTGCCTAAGTGCACCATCATGGTGACAGTGTATATGACCAGGAGTAGGGGGTAGCAGTTTGCAGCTTTGAGCAGTCTCTGAGTCCCACAAGAATAAATTCAGTCCCCTGGGTCACTGTGGTTTCTCTCCATTTCTTCCATGTAGGCAATTACTATGGAAAGAGATGACAATGTCCTTCTTCGATTCCAGTGTCCACCACCCACAAGGTTTTTAGCATGTGATATTGCTGTTCATAAGGTGAGCACTGATTTTTCCCAACAAATTCCAGAATATTAGAGTGACTGCCTTTACCCTGAGCAAAAGGAGTGTTAGAACAAATAAATTTTGTATTATACAAAGTGATTGGTAAATTATGGAACTATTTATGAAGGAGATAAAGCAGAGATAAACTGACCTATCCATAGTGCCCATTTCAAAGGCTGGGGTACATTTTTATTGAAGAGAATGAAGAAAAAAATAAACAATGCTTTACCCATTGTCCAAAAAAAAAAAAAGCCCTGGTAGATCCTGAATCTACATCTCAAATCCTCTGTAATAAGTCATAAAGATAAACTCTTTCATGAAAGAGAATCCTATCACTGATATAATGAACAATGTTCGTAAAACATTTTCCTGAAGTTTTCAATGAGGGACAATATCTACCATCTGAGACAACCCTTTTAACTTTGGTGAAGTTTTACCAGAATTTTTTTTTCCTCACTGAAGCCTGTATTACTGAAGGGATTTTATGAAGATTAATTGAAGTTAGTTGAGATTTTTAGTCAAGAGAAGAGAAGGTTTGGTTTGTAATGTGTGGGAATTTTTTTTTAAATTATATACAGGATTATGTTATTGAAAAGGGAATTGATTTACTCTGATTAGTCCAGAGGTCAGAAATTGGAGTAATTAGAAATATATGAAAAAGGCAAATCTAGATTGTATTAAGAGAATAAATAAACAAAAACAACAACAAAACACTACAACTCCTTAGCAATCCCAAAGTAAAATGGTTTGCCTCAGGAGCTACTGTTCTCCTTTGCAGAGAAAACCAAGGAAATGTATTGTGGTTATTATTTTTCTGTTACTGATGAGAATTTTAATAAAGATAGGTTTGTCTACATTTTCTCCTTGGTACTCTACAGTGTAGAGAGATTTTGCCTTAGCATGAAAGCCACAGATGCTAATAAGCAATCTTCTGCTCAGTTAAAGAGAAAATAGGAAAGAAGGTTTACTTTGAAAAGAAGAAACATAAGCATAAGCTGTCTAAGAATACAAAAGGGAAATTTGTTTTCTTCTAATAAACAATTAGGATCTTATACTGTATAGAATATCAAAGAAGACATTTGCATTGATTGTCTAAGGCTCTTTTCAAGGCACCTTTAACCTCCTTGTTTCTCAAACTATAGATCAAAGGGTTGAGTATGGGAATGACCAGGGTATAAAAGATGGAAGCCACTTTGTCTGTATCAAAGGAGTGGCTAGACTTGGGCTGCAAGTACATAAAAGTTAGTGTTGCATAGAACACAACCACCACAGTGAGATGGGAGCCACATGTAGAGAAGGCTTTGCGTCTGCCCTCGGCAGTTCATCCTGAGGATGGCCATGAGAATGAGTCCATATGAAATAAGAACAACCAGCAGGGAGAAAACTAAATTAAAAGCAGAAAGACTCAGAATGATTAATTCTACATCCTTTGCATCACTACATAAAATACTTAAGAGGGGGAGACTATCACAGTAGAAATGACTAATTACATTAGATTTCCAAAAAGATGAATTAAAAATCTTAATTGTAATCAGCAGTGCTTCAAACAAGCTGTAGAGATATGGTATGGCCACCAAGATGCAGCACATTCTGTCTGACATGGTGACCATGTAAAGCAATGGATTGCAGATGGCTACATAGCGGTCATAGGCCATCACTGATAACATAAAAAGTTCACTTATAATTAATGTTATAAAAACAACTAGTTGGGTTGCACATCCAGCATAAGAGATAATATTTTTCTCCATTACAAAATTAACCAACATTTTTGGGCCAATTGCAGTGGAGTATCCAAGATCAATAAATGCCAGATTCCTGAGGAAAAAGTACATGGGAGTTTTCAGGCGAGAATCAATCTTGGTCAAGATAATCAAGCCTAGATTTCCCAGAGATGTAATCATGTAGATGATGAGAAACAAAAAGAAAAGGGGGATCTGCAGGTCAGGATGATCTGTGATGCCCAGGAGAATGAATTCAGTTACTTGAAATGATGTAGTTTCATTCCACTTATCCATGTCTTCCATGCAGGCAAAGTAATCTGGGATATGGTCTTCGAATCTAGGATGTACCACTCACGAGAGATTCTGTGTGTAGCATATTTGCAAATGCACTGTTCAATATCACATCAAGGAATTCAACAAAGATCTCATTACTTCCCATAACCTCTCCTTAGTGTCTGTACCAGAGACAGATTCTTTGCTGTCTATATGATGAAGGTGAACCTGGGCAAAATTTTGATATATTTAATAACTATCATTTTCAGTGACATAAAAAAAATGTTTATGAAATTTGTTTATATGATGCTCCCATGAGCCACAATCTATATTTACAAATGTGATTGGTCTACCAACCAATATTAGTGCTCAAGCATCCCTATGCTTTTTAAAAAATATATATTATTATTTCTATACTTGCATGAAAAGATCTGTGATACTGGTCAGCTAAAATTTATAATTGGATGGATTTGTAAAAATAAAACAAGACAAAACAAACAAAAACACCACAAAAATCAACTCCCTAACGAAAATACAAATGATCCACCAAAAAAGGTGTGTATTTTTTTAGTCTTAATATTAAGATATGCTGCATTAAAACATAGTTGGTCCTAAGGAAAATTGTTAGTTTCCATATATTATACAAGTAAGAAAGACATTTCTCTCTCAGGTAATTCACATGACATCTAGTCATCCAGAGACATCAAAAGTCTCTGTAGATATCAAAGTGGTAAGGGAATAACCTTGGGCCCTTGATATCATGGAACATAGTCTGAATCTTCTGGGAAGAGAGATGGGTAAAGACAATTGGAAGTTTTCTTGTTGTTGTTCATGGATATTCATGAAATAATATTTTAAGCAATGTCTTAAAATGAAAAGAAAAAAATTAATAGGATTTAAGAAGAAGGGAACTTCTTATCCCTCCTTTTACCTTTTGCCTGCATCAGCAAGCAGGATTTTTTTTTCCATTTCTTCCTCTCATCAATAAAGACAAGTAATTATTTATAGATAATGCATTTTGCTAGTATCCTTCACATATCATGGAAACAATCCTATTCTGTTGTAATCACTTCAAGAACTTGACAAAATTGGATCATTTTCAAAAAATTCGATGTGACTCACTTAATGCAAGGAAAGGCAGTGACAGCCAAAATGCTTAGCATCTCATGTGTGACAAGTGGAAAGCCTCAGAAATGTCCTTAGCTTTGTTACATGTGATCTTCAAGTAAGAATCCACTTACTTGTCACATCTGCACCTGCTCAATAAGATATCACATCAGCTCACTCTAGTTTTATAATTGTAGGCATAAACAAAGACCCCCCAGTTTCAGTGTTAAAGCATCCAGTAAATCCCAGGGTCACCAGTTTACAATGCTCTGACCAATAACATTTGTGACAAATATTCGCAGTGTAACAGAATTTTAGCTATCAAAAGCCTAGAAAAACTGTCCCCAAAAGTTGCCACCTTCATGAATTCACTTTGATATGCATGTTTTAGCAAAAATCCTCTGTTTTGACTAAGATTCTTCTAAATATTCTCTTACCCCTTTATTTTCATATTTAAACTGAATTGATGTAATTTTAATGAGAATAATTCTCAATGTTTACATTATATAGTGCTTTGGGGCAGCTAGGTGGTACGGTGATGCCGACTAATACTTATTGACTGTGAAATATGGTAAAATGTCATATACATTTCAAGTCATACCACTGGAGGGTTTAAACGAAATGATTATCATTAGATCATTTAACAAAATAAAAAAAATAATAATTTTGGAATTAAGCAGAGTTTTGAAACCTAAGTCCCCCTAGAAACCTCATTCACAGCCCCATTTCCTTTACCTACAATACTGGACAATCCTAGAGTGACTATATTTAGTAGGATGCAAAAGGATGGCCAAGAAGTTAAACTTCTCAGTATGACATCTTCTCGATTTCACATTTGATCTGATTTTCCTTCATCCTATACCTTTTTCTCATTTCCCCCTTCCCAAGCTCCTTTTCATCTTCCTAACTTGCTTCTATATTGCCTTTCTTCTAGACTTGAATATGCCTACTGATAGGGTACCAGATCTCTGTTCTGACACCTTTTTTTTGTTTTCTTTTCTTTCCATTTAACCGATTTATCACTGCCTGGTTGTCTTCTATTCCTGGCTATTTACTGCCTATACCCAACACTCTATTATAACTACTACTTCAGCTTGTGAATCTCTTTCTGTAATGTTTGTAATTTATAGATTTTTAAAAGTTTGTTAAGGCTTGGGAGTACTGTCTTCAGAGCTTCCTTCACATCCTTATTCTTCAGGCTGTAGATCTTAGGATTCACAATGAGGATCACTAGCGTGTAGCACACCGAAACCACTTTGTCAATATCTAAGGAATGTTTTGACCAGTGTTTCAAGTACCTTTAAAAGAGTATCCAATAGAAAAGAGACAGTGTGAAAAGTACAGGTGGAGAAGGCTTTCTGTCTCTGATGATGGAGAAGTGGGACACCAGGACAATGATCATGGAAAAGAATAAACTGGAACTTGAAGAGATAAAGAATCATATTAGTGGCACAAGGGTAATAGAGCAAGATAAAGTTAACAGAGCTTTATCCAAGGCAATTAGCAAAGATCTTGATCAATAGGCTTTTAATCAATATTGATGGACCAATTGATTGACAAATTACTTTTTTCTGAGGAAATCAATCATAATTTTAAGTCTAATGTTGCTGTTCGTCAAGGCAAGAATTGCAATACCTGGGAACTTCAGTAAGTATATGCTTGATATAAGTGCATAGTAATTATGTAAACACCTCCAAAAGTTATTAAAGTATTAGACTGAAATAATGGAAGTATAATGATTGGAATGGATTGCAGCATTCTCAATTGCCACGATGAAACCTGAAGTTTGCTTCATTTCTGGGAACAAAATTTTAGGAAGCATATCGACAAACTGGCAAATGACTTTTATGAGAAGAACACCTTGAACTTTACCATGTAAATGTTAGGTAAGGGAAGTGCAAATGATTAACATACAGAAAGAAAGAGTTGGAATTTGTTGGGATAAAGCATCTGTCTTTAATTTTTTTTTAGTTGCCAAAAAAGAAAGATTTTTCTGGTTCTGCTTGGCTCATCAAGGTAGAAATAAGAATACATAAAAATGGCAAAAAAAGAAAATTTTGGTAAAATTAAAGCAAAGTTATACTAAAAATCAAACTTCAAAACTCTAACAGCCTCTTTGGGGAGGTTGCAAGTTCACCATCAGTGGAGTTCTTCAATTACAGTCATTAGGTGAGACACATTTAAAATGCAGAATCCACACAATTGTTTGTGAGAGGAGAGTACATTCTGAGCCTTTATAAATTATTGATTGATGGTAAAGAAGCTAAAAGAAATCAGTTTGGGCTGCAGCAGAATGCAGTATTTTGAGTCCAAAATTCAAAACTGAGCTCCAGAAGACATTGTAAAGGCACAGCTATGATTTAAGTTTTTCTTGATCCTCTCAGTAATAGTGAAGTTAGAGTGATGATGAATGTAATCAGATCAGGCATCCTCCATAACCTGAATTTTCAATCCTACATCTTTCATTGACAAAGACAAAGAAATTGGCACTTCAAGGGCATTTGAAAGGCTACCATTTCTAAGTGATTATTTGGCACAACATACTTACAGTATAAACAGAGAAATTTAAAAGTGGTAAATTCAAGCCCCACAAGAGACCTATTTTGAGGGATTTTGTGTATTCTGCCTAGCTCCTAGAGGCCAACTCTGGCCAAAGAATGAGAGGTGGATTTTACCCAGGGTTCTGCTGAAACCAGCCCCAGTTGTTCTATTAAATTTAAATTTAAGTGTATGCATTTATACTTTGAAATCAGCAAGTATGAGTACTAAATTTATTGTTTGATTGATTGTCTAGACTTACAGAAGTTATGGGAAAATGTTAATAATGTAGAGTAAGGTTAAAAGAGTATTGTGTTGATATTTTTTTTCAGAGAGCCAGTTATTCAACATTTCCCAGCACATTGCTGATTTCATGCCCATGCAAAAGATAAAGCAGCACACTATGTGTAACAAAGTGCATCTTGGGAGTGTGTTCCCTTTCACTAGACATCTTCCTACTTGTGGATTATTGTTAGGTACCTATCTTATTTCGGACATCAGTTGGTCAATATGTCCTTCATGATCCTTTCTAAGTGAGCATTTATGTCACTTCTAACTTTAACATAGGGATGTCAGTTAAGTTCTTATTTTCCTAATTATGTAAAGCTTTTAAAATGTGATTAGGTTAAAAAGTGATGCAAAAAAATAACAATGGCTTATGCATTGCTAGCTGTCAGGTCTCTTTCTTTTGTATAATCTCCCCAAGGTCTCAAACTACTGCAGTGGACAAACTTATTGGTCCCAAATGGCTGTTACTGGATGCTGGATCAGTATCATAAACTTTAAAGTACTGCATAAACGTAAGCTACTCTTTTCCAGATTAGAAATCCTATTCGGATCATGTCTTAACTGTCCCTCTCCTCAAGACTGCGTGAAAAGGTTTCACACTAGTTTTACTCAAAGAAAACAATGTCATGGTGACAACTTCCAGGCAAAATGAAATTGAGGATCAAAATTCTTCCCCTTAACTATCAAATATAGCCTTCCCAAAACCAAAGGAAATTATTAGTTTCCGGAGGGTACAATACTCTCCTTTTAGTCCAGGTAGTCAAGAATTGTTCCTTATTCCTTATTTTCCTTTGTAGGTCAAACGTTATCTGAGGATACTATGATAGAAATGGATTTAGGGTCAGGAAGTCCTCCTGTGACTTATGATGAAGCAAAGACAAACCTGCGATTTATTCTCTAATCCCTCCTTTCCAGCCTCTGATTAGCTGCGTGATCTGTCAAAAGTTGGTTAACCTCTCAGTATCCTAAACAGTTCTCTAAGAGTTTGAACAAGAATTGCGTATATATGAAGGGACATCTGTACGGAATTAGGGAAGGGGAGAAGCTCCAGATGAAATAACAAAAGTTGAAGAGCTTATTTTTTTATA